TTCAAACGGCACAACAAAATTGCTCCTGTCACCTTTTTACTTTAATATTTTTAGGTTTCATTCATCTTGAAGGAAACATAGAAAACATCTGCCTTCAAGATGAATAGAATAGAATAGAATAGAACTTTATTGATCCCTTTGGTGGAAACCTCAGGGAAATTGCTGAATGAGTACAATGTTTAAAATTTTATATTTAAAGATACAATTTGAGAAGTTAACTACATAAGTATGATATAAGTACTATATACACTACCGGTCAAAAGTTTTAGAACACCCTAATTTTTCCAGTTATTTATTGCAATTCAAGTTGTGCAAGTCCAATGAATAGCTTGAAATGGTACAAAGGTAAGCACTGAACAGCCAGAGGTTTAATAAAAAAGGTTTGGTTACACAAAACCGAAAAATAATGTACATTTCAGAATTATACAAAAAGGCCTTTTTCAGGAAACACGAAGTGGGTTAACAATTTAAAGCTGTTCTGCAGCAATGAAGGTTGAAAAAGCCTTAAAAGCTGGTGCTACTAATTCCTACAGGTGTTCCAACTTTTCTTGATAACATACAACCCCCTCTGTCTCCATAAAAGCAGTGTTGGAACACACTGTGGTACCAGACCCTCATGAGCATCAGCTGAACAGTATTGTACTGCAGAAAGTAGTGTGTTGCTACAAAAACGGCAAGAAAAAGGCAATTAACAGTGGAAGAGAGACAGACCATCATAACACTTAAAGATGGAGGTCTTTCCTACAGGGAAATTGCAAAGAAGTCAAGGTGTCAGTGAGTACAGTTTTCTTCACCATCAAAAGGCACTCAGAAACTGGGGGATACTTTGACAGAAAGTGGTCTAGCAGACCCAAAGCCACAACTGAATCAGAGAACAAGTTTCTGAGAGTTAACAGCTTGCGTGATAGGCGGCTCACAGGACAACAGCTTCAAGCACAGCTTAACAGTGGTCGTAGTAAGCAAGTCTCAGTTTCAACTGTGAAGAGAAGACTTCAAGCTGCAGGTTTGACAGGACGAGTTGCAGCAAGAAAGCCATTGCTGAGACGTCAGCATAAGACAAAGAGGCTCTCCTGGGCCATGAAACACCGCCATTGGACTACTGAAGACTGGAAGAAGGTATTATGGACTGAGGACTCAAAATTTCAAATCTTCGCTTCATCACACAGGATCTTTGTACGTCGTCAAGTAGGCGAGAGGACGGTTCCACAGTGTGTGACATCAACTGTCAAACATGGAGGAGGGAGTGTGATGGTCTGAGGCTGTTTTGCTGGATCCAGGGTCCGTGACTTGTACAGAGTGAGAGGCACCCTGAACCAAAATGGCTACCACAGCATTCTGCAGCGCCATGCAGTACCCTCTGGTATGCACCTAGTTGGTCAGAGGTTCATCCTACAGCAAGATAATGACCCAAAACACAAGTCCAATCTATGCTAAAACTACCTCAGGAAAAAGAACAAGATGGTAAGCTTGAAAACATGGAGTGGTCAGCACAGTCTCCAGACTTAAAGTCCATTGAGCTGGTTTGGGATGAACTAGACAGAAGAGTGAAAACCAAGCAGTCTACAAGTGCCACACATTTCTGGGAACTTCTGCAACAGACTTGGGAAGAACTTTCTGAACAATATTTGATTTCTATTGTAGAAAGAATGTGTGTTCAGCTGATATATCTGCCAAAGGTGGCTACTTTGATGATTCAAAAGTTTGGAATATATTTTGGTCTATAAATTGATTCCATGATTTATTTTTCAACTAAAATTGCTTATTTGTTCTATGCTTTCATTTCAGAATGCAATGACACAATAAACTGAATAATTTTCAGTAAAAAATTGGAAAAAGTGTGGTGTTCTAAAACTTTTGACCGGTAGTGTAAGTAAACTATAATTATAAATAAATAAATATCCCCCCCAATGAATTGCCACCTTAACGCGGTGGAGGGGTTTAAGTGTCTCTGTGATCCTGATGTCCGGGGCAATAGCCCCTGGTCGGGTCTCCCAAGCCACATTGGTCCTATGGGAGAGACCAGACGAAGAGCAATTCAAAATAACTTGATATCTGTAAAAAAAAGAATCAAATTTTTAAAAAAGCCACCACCTCACCCACATCAGGGAAACTGGGGCCTCCTCCTGGAGCCTGTAATAACATGTATTAATGTTTTCCTACCTTCTGAGCTCTTTGTTTTAAGCAACATCAGCTCTGATCATAAAAACCAAATATTCATTTTCAGGTTTGTAACCCTTTAAATATCAGTACGTTTACATGATGCCACTGTTGATTTTATTTTTAAAAGTTGTAAATTTTTTTCCATATAATTGATGTAAGGAAAAAAGGGATTATTTTCCATGTAATAAATGCTAAAGGGTCATTTTTATTTTTTGCCTCAGTTACACTCTGAGGTCTGTCAATAGTAACTGATTCCAATGCATTAATATTTTTAACCATTAATCTCATCCTTTGCTGAAAACTCTAAATTTAGCTTCAGTAGAAATGTGTTTTGTCTCTAAACTCACTGTGAACTCTGATCATCTGGTCTCATCCTGCACTGTAGCTGATGTTGCCGTAAACTGAGACATGACTAGCTGTAGAGGGTTCTTCTTCTAGAACCCTCACTCTGTGACATCACATGGTATAAACTGTGGTGATGTTGCTTGGCAACAGCCAATGCAGAAAAGCACATAAAAAAGGCCACCATTCATGTGGTTCGTCATACAGAGCGTGTGTTTTTGTGTAAGTGTGTGCATGTTACAATCCAGCATCGAGGGTCAGCTGGATGTAACCAAAAAAA